TGATTTTACTTCTACTATCTGCAAAATTGAGCTGCTTTCTTGAACTTTGTGAACTACGCTCGGTACTACTAACATGGTTCGACGGGGTCAGCTTGTTGTCTATTAGCGCGCTTTGGCGCCTTTTAGCAGCGACCATTTCAGGAGTAGATTTCGGTTGCCAGCTAATTTTCAATTTAAGTCTTCTGAAAGTTGAAACTGTCACTGCACACCTGAGTGCATCCTCAAGCGATTGTTCATTTAGATTTACGTATGTTCCCTCGTCGTCCAGGTACTGGATTCGTAGTTCTTCGTTCGGAATAAACTGGAAACACTCTATGTGCTGACGAATAACTGCTAACAAATCTTCATATGTCAAAAGACTTTCCTCCTTTGCCATTATGACTTGACATCGTTCAGATTCAATACTGTAAAATACTTTTAGCTGGATCATCTCGCGCTTTTCAGCTAGTTCACAAATGAACGAACGACAAGCAATGTGACCACGTGAGTATACAAGTTGATCAGAGACAGTAATTTCACGTGATCACACACCGCTATCTTTTACGTCATCAGCGATTGTAAATTGTCGGGCGCGATTGTCACTCTACCTGTTTTGGTAGTATCCTTGGAAAGCCTTTTGTCCATTAGGGTTCATCCAATATATCCCTGATTGAGAGTGGGGTTTCTTTGCTTTCTGAGTTTTGCAGTTTTTGATTGCATTATTGGGACGAAGACCTGAATGTGAAAGACATTCGAACATAAGTCGATCCACGAAAAGCCAGTCAGGGACTGCGTAATTTATTTCGTTTTCCCTCCTGATAAATATTGTGCAATTCCTCAATCCTGTCCTTAGTAGATTAACATCGATCGACATCATCTTTACGTCGCCATATCAGGCTAGTAACGAGGTATATTTTTTTGCTGTTGATCCGGATCAAAACGGCCTAAAAACGTGATCCCGATCCCAAAACTCCGTACATTTTGAGCCCTGATCCCCTTACAGAATCGTTGAAAAAAATCATTGATCCCGATCCCAGTTGAAAAACCTTTGATCCCAGGTTAAATCCATTTGATCCGGATCCTGGGCCTAAATCCTGATCCCAGAATAGTCCAAAAAATGACGCTGATCTCTGATCCCAAGACCTCGTTACTAGCCTGCCATATCACTCTACTCGAAGACATGCGATTTATTGACTAATATAAATTCACTTACCGACGAAGTCCTTTTCACCGCATCTGGTTTTCTTAGTCGAAAAACCTAATTGGAAATGCAAAATCTAAATTCTGATTATTTTGATTTACTATTGAAAATTGTTTTTTGAAATTATGCTAAGGACTATAACAAATATAGATATGCAAATTTTCTTGCGTGAGTCAGTGATTTACTTAATCGACCAAGGATTTTATTTACAAAATGCCAACTTTTCATTTTATTAAATTTAGAATTTATAGTGTAGGAAACGCCCATATTAGTTTCCTACACTATAAATTCTAAATTTTATCAAATGAAAAGTTGGCATTTTGTAAATAAAATCAGTTTGCCATAATTATTAGCATTTCGGAAGATTATTTTTATAAACAGTTGAACCCCAATGCCGGGGATCTATTGAGTGATAACGAGGCAAAGCCGTACTTTGATAGTCTTATTCGCCAGAGTCTAGGTAAATATATGACATATTTCTGCCTATAATAAATTTGCATAACCACTTACCACCAATAATGTAAACATCATTTGACATATTGCCTCCCTTTCCTTTCTTACAGCTTGTGGAAACGCCATATTTGTTGTAGCTGATGTGAGAGTTAGGTCCTGTCCAGCACTCTTTCCCATTTTGAAGCGCAAAGGCCTTGTACCCTTTTAGTAAAGCTGTTGCCGCGCATGCCCACTTCTCTTTATGGCCGAGATATTTCGGGAAGGAACGCTCTTGTTCGTTGTAGCAGCCAACGTGGCGGTAAGCTGAAAAGACGAAATCAAAAGCATAGAAATATGAAAGAAAAGAAGGAAAAAAGTCTAACATACAAAACTTAACCTGAAGTTTTTTTTCATTTTCTTTGAGCTTTCTTCTTTTCATAATTATATTATGTATATTGGAATAAATGAATATTGCACAGCCAACTACTGCCAGTCTGACCTTGTTGTAGACAGTAGTACAATGACTCGGGGCTCGAATCCCAGCAAGCCGTCGGAAATGATTTTCTGGATTTATTTCCAGGGGTCTTTAACCCTGAATAACCTCCTTCAAAGTACTATGACTTTTCTTTATTTATAGTTAAGGTTGCATCTTTTACATGGTCTCGTAGCTTATGATAATTGCTGGTAAAATTTCAGTGGCATACCTAGTTTTCCATAGCAAGTAGCTGCAAGGGCCAAGAGAATCAGCCTGGTCATTATTTCAAGCTTCATTTTGTACCTGGAAACAAAAAAAAGTAGGAATTAACTATGGAAAAACTTGTTACCAAGCGACGCCAACTACTGATGTGTGACTTCAGGAAAGAGGACTAAAAACGCGTGAGAACAAGAAAACTACTCAAGTTACTCCATTAATTAAAATTAGTCATCCGGAACACTCCAATACTAGCTAGAGTCACGCTAAAGTATCTCAAAATTAAGTAAAGATGAATAAAGATATTTTTTCTTTATCTTTTCTTGTCTTCTTTTGACCGAAATCCAGAGTTTCTTATAAAAAAGGACCAAAAGATAATTTTATCATGCTCAAGGCACTTTAAAGTAATTTTTATGAGCAAGTGAAATCGATTCATTTGTAATATTCCTTTTTAACATTTCAAAGGAAAACGCCTCAATAATCCCAAAAAGTGACAGTGCTGCCTATGTTATTTTATCAAAGTCCTTCATTACCAGCGCTCAAGGCCATTTACATGAGTGCATCTTCCTAGAATCACTCTTACTGAGACGGCGCCAAAACGAATTGATGCAAATACTAAATATTCGCAGAGTTAAAGCTTCCTGGTCATGGTATGATAAATAATGACCTATTTTTTACCTTAAATCAAGGGTTTGCAGACTCCTTAACATACGTCGTGTTAGGGCAGTGTCCACTTGAAAATGAATACGGACTACTATAACTACTGATAACAAGGAATCAATGATCGATTTTGATTGGCTCAATTTTTTTCAAATGATGAGACGGAAAGTCTTTTTCTTTCTTTTCCATTCATTTCCAACTATTCAAAGATTAGGAATTTTGGGCTTGCTGTGTTATCTAGTTTTGGGTGTCCTGTGTTAAGTTCTATCCGTGCGAGCTTATGAAGCCTGGGCATATCAAAAATGGAGTACGTTTTTCCATCTGAAAGCAAGAAAAAATCCGTATTTATTGATAATTGTGGAGGTTGTGGTTTAGAAGAGAGAATGGCCAAAGACATAGCAAAAGTTATAGACTTTCCAAAATTATTATCAACTGCAAAACAACATCTGATCTTCCACGAGTACAGAACTGTCATTTCAGCATGTGTTTATGGGCTCGAACTTCTGCGAAGTACAGAAAATTTAGAAGATAATGATGAAAGTTCTGATGGGAATAGACACAAAATAGCGCTTGGAGTCCTTGCGATACAAGCTGTAGCTTTAGATGAGGGAATAGATCATGTTGAAGCCTTTGTAGAGCGGTGGTTTGGTGAAATACGAGCGTTCCCTGCAGAAATATTACAATTATGGTAAATAAGCTTTATATTTATGAAGATGTCATATGAATATCTCATTTATTTTCTGGGTACAAATTTTTGAAGGCCTCTTAGATAATTTATAATTTTTGTTCAAAATATTATAGGGGTACCCCCTTCTTGGTTTCCATTCCATTTCAAGCCCCCTCCCCCCTAATGCTGCTCCATTTTTTGGAGCCCCTCAACGTATTCATACCCTCCTGGGCGTACTTTCCCTAATAAATTTTTTTATTTTTAACATAAACTACCGAATATGTAGAACAAAACATTCTTGTGCACTGATTGGTCGAGAACCGTTGTCAATCCTTGGACAGACGGATGAAATGACAAATCAMTCGTGCATGGAGCTGGAGCGTGCTAAAATGGTTTTGTTTAGGAAGTTTTACTTTGTTTTCAGTTTTTTTTTATGGTAAAAAACAATTCACAATTCAGGGAGATTTTTTGGAGGGGTGAGAAACGGATGTGCCAGTGATAAGTTTAAAAATTCTCAGGCAATTTTCCATTGTCTGTACTCTTATTGGCAATGAAATGGAGGTCAAAAATGCTAAAAACTTTGCAGTGAAACTACTCGCTTATGTTCGTGGTTCCAATTGTGCTTTTCAGAGAATTTTTGACATCAATTCCATTGTCAATAAGACTACAGACAATGGAAAACCGCCTGCGAATTGTTAAACTTATCACTGGCCTGTGTACATCTGTTTCTCAGGCTAACCTATCACTGACAAAATGTTAAAATTTAATACTCTACTTCTACCCCTGACATGGGCTTTTATTCTTGGATAATGAGTGTTTCAATTTTATTTTGTTTCAGTGTCTGTCTTTACCTTCATATAAATAATTCCCATTCTGCACAGAAAATGATTGAAGAATGGCTTGAAGATAGAAAGAATCAAAACCATCAAGGATTTGACCTAGTTGTAGAACTTTACATTCAGAATATTTTAATACCAAAGAATCAGGCTGAAAAAGCTCAAAATTTCCTTAATGCATGTGAAAGTATTAGTGAAAAGAAAAAGGAGGTGGGTATCTCATTTTCTTTTGGCTTTTTTTGCCATCATTTACCATCATTTATAACTCCTCTAAGGATAGAGAACAGTTATTTTTAGCCTTGAGTAAGATACAGTTTGAAACAAAGATCAACTTCTGAACTGTGTCTAAGAGGTCTGAGGAAGAAATAGAAACCTCAAGGACCAGCAGTAAAGAATAATCCAAAAATTAACCCCAAAAATGGTTGGAGGCTTTACTTCACAAGCTGCTTTGCACTGTTCTAGAGACTACTATTGTACGTTAAAAGAAGCCAAGAGGTGCCAAGTACTTGTACAGTGAGTATTATTAATTTGTTAATGATAATAAACTAGTCTTGTCCTGACTGTGATTTAATGTCTTGTAATAACGAAGTGTTTTTTTTAATGCAAGTCTCACTCAAGCATATCACCTTTATCAAGTAGTGAAAACAATATCCAAGAACACCAAGGAACAGGTATGTTTGCTTCATAGTCCTGCTGTCTTTTTTTCTACTAGCACTGGATTTTACCATTGAATGTGAGAACATTGTCGCAGAGAACCTTCCTGTCATTCCATTTCATTGCGTAAAGTTACTTAAACCTGGCTTTAATTATGCCATCAAATAAGTCCCAAATTGTGCCTTGTAAATGCCCCTATGACTTGCCCACAACAGTTGTAAGCAACCTATGACTTGTAGTAGGACTTTGAGGCATGATTCAAGTCCTACATAACAATAGTTGCATGCGACAATTGTGCAGTGTAAAGGTGCCTTTACAAATGGAAGTGTTTGCAATAGAGTGCTTTCAGTAAAAGTGTGAAACACTTATAACTAAATTGTGCAAAATAGTGCTAGTTGATAAAAAACAACAAAAGCATTAGCATTAAATAGTTCAAAATAGTATTTTACTAATTTTTCATGCTTTTACTAAAAGTTCTCTGGTGAGCAGAGTGAATGCACTTATCCTTTGATTTAATCAACCTCTTTGTACTGTTTTGTGCAATTTAGAAAATGGTGTTCGATAAAGAACAATGATGATTCAGTGGCAGGGGACATATATAGTAYAATGTTGTGCAATTTCACAGGCTAAATGCATTAACTCTATCTGCTATATTCTATAAATTGAATTATTTTTAGTAGTTTCTTTGGATTAAGGTTTGCGTAAGTGTCCATAATATTGGGTTATCTGCAAAGTAACAGTCAATACACTCTGTTTTTCTTGCAATCAGGTACTTCATTCTCTTTGCTACTCAAAGTAATTAGACTTTGTTCCACAACTTCACAAGTTCTCAAGAGAGTGTCTTTAAAATCTACATTGAAAACAGGAGCAAGAGTTGTAATCCTGATGTACTTCCTTTATGTCGTATTAACAAGAACAAATATGCCTGGTGGTAAGAACTGTGTACACTATTATGAGGCCCTGGGTATGAGTCTCTTGGTTGACAAGAAGGCGAGCTAGGACTCAAACATAAAGAATGGAAAACCAGGGGCAGATTCTGGGGAGGGGAAAAGGTTCTAATTTCTTCAAAAACGATAATAAAAATATTCAAAATAAAACCATACATTTTCATCAAAACTTTGTTCACTCTTGGAAAAATATTGTTAAGTTTTAAAATATATTTGGATCAGCAAATTGATTCCCCCTGGAATATATATTATACGTTCAAGTCAGCAAATGCCATTTAAGCCCCCTTTTTGTCTGTTTATTTTTCAAAGCCTCCCCCCCCCCTACTTTTCCTCCAGCCCCCTCTCAGGCATAATTAACGAGTGGTCCCTTAACTTGCTATATTACACTTTCCTTTCAGACATCTTTAGCCATGGGTCTGGTGAAAACCTTATCTGGAATGCAGTAAAGCAAGCATGGAGAGCTCTTTTTGCACCATACCATATGATTCCTCAATAGGTCCGGGTCAGGCTTCCACAAGTTTATATTTAGAACTTTTCCACTTCATGGCTAGCCTGCATAGCTGGTAATCTTCCCTTTTAAGGGTGATGCRAATTGAGAGAGAATTGTAACAGCTTGTAAACCACAGCAAGCCATTTAAAAGTGGATCACCTTTATCTTTTGACAATAAACATACTTTCATGAAGGCCTTTTTTAATCAAAAATAACAAAAACTATGTTCTTCTTCATTATCAGAGTTCCCTCTGACCTGTATGCATTACCATTGAAAACAATTATTATAAGGTCATTGTAATGAAGGCAAAAGACCACCTGCACCTACAGTATGTTGGGATAGGGATATTTTCCCAAAAGACAGAAGCAAGTCTTTTCCCTTCTTGACACAGTAAAAAAGACAAAACGATTTTGCCAATGTTCATTTTATTCTCAGTACATTCTTTCTCTCATTTTACAAGGTCTAAGAAGTTGTAAAATACCAGTTATAAAACAGGTGTTGAAAATAAAGATAGTCCAATAGACTGCACTGGGACAGTGATGTGGACATATAACCTCTACAGAAATATCTTGAATTACTAGAGTGCAATTTTTAAACCATGGAAAACTTATTTCCATTCTGCAATATTGAAACGTAAGCAAGAATAAACTAGCCAGTAGGCTGGATTTACTATAAACAAAAGCTTATATCTTTCGCAACCACAACTTTCATGTGGAAATTTTAGATTTTCTGTGCAATCGATAATGTAACGCAGACTATCGATAATGATCTAATTTATTGCTGAACAAGCTTTGTTTCTGATTTTGTTTAGAATAACAGTTGAATAATAGAATAATAGTTATTCAGTGTATAAAAAAAGTAATTGACTTGGTATATTTTACTTCCAATATACCAAATTCATGAATAATTTAAGAGGAAAAAACAAAGAAAACTCGCTTCCATAAAGTGTTCAAGGACTTGGATAAAATTCCAGCATATTTGTCATGACTTTATCCATCATAAATTAAAGAACTCACTCAGAAATAATTAAAACCCCTAAAGGCCCAAGTGCATCCGAGAACCTATATGTTTGTTTTGCTTTGAGCTAAAGAATGATATTCTGTTGAAAGTTGCTTTCTGATTGGTTCAAAAGCAAAGATTCTTCACATAAGAAAAATTGTACAAAGGCTTTCGGATGCAAGTTGGCCTATGAGTGTTGAGAATTCAAGCTTTAAGAACCCTTATATGTTAATATAATTTTAAAATGTTTCTCTTTCTCATATTTGTATCCCCAAGCATCTCATAGAATTAAAAGACATTCTACCTGACCCTAAACTAGAGTGAAGTAAAAAAAATCAAATTTTGTTTCACAGGTTTAAAGACTTCAGTCAATATCTGTTTTCTAAACATCAAAATCTGTTAAAGAGAACTTGATGGTGCTAAGAACATGACAGTAGTTGTATGGCAATGCCATGAATTAAAAAGAAACAGGAAGTAATATTCCTAGTAGAAATTATTATTGTGTATGACCTACCGAAGGCCAACAATCACTTTACACAAAAACCCCTTAAACAACTTCTACCTCTACTACATTAATTAGGACAGGTATTTTTCAAATATTGCAACAGTACACTAACTAGTCTCCCAGCCTGTTATTTCTAATTTAAAGGTGTTAGAAACAAGATTAGATTATCTAAAGCCTTCAAGCTATGGTGTATAATGCATTTGAAATAAACCCTCCTATCATAAATTTTTAAAACAAAACACAGCACTACCAGTGTACCACAATACCATTTATGGTGTGTTTATTATTGAATGGCAGTGCAATGCTTTGTTTATCACTAATAATACTCTTTTATAGCTTCAATGCAAATCACTTAGTGATTCCAAAATTCAACAAATCAAATGCAATTGAATTCAATGGATGATCAGAAACATTTCTCAAACACCCTTGAGTATCTGCCCAATGCAAAGTGACAAGGCAATTACAATTCCTCTCCGCCCATGCATTTACACGACACACAAAAAATAATAAATCATGGGCAAAAATTGACAAAGAATTGACACTATGCCAATCATTTACCAAACCTTGCTTGGCTCAATGCGCCTGGTCGGCTCTTGCCGACATTGTATCTCCTGTAAACCACATTATTCAACATTCACCTAGCTATGACTCCACAGTACTTTTTTACTTGCTTACAGCCTGTGGGTGATTGTTCTTCTTAATCGTCTGCCTTTTCTTCTTCAGGCTCATTGGGGCAGTCCCTAGAGATGTGGCCAGTCTGTTTGCATGTATAGCAGGTGTTTTCAGACTTGCTACACTCGCGTGCATAATGGCCAGTTTCTCCACAGGTGTAACACTTCTCTTCACTTTCATCGCAATCGCGAGCATAGTGACCACTCTTACCGCAACGGTAGCACTTGTCACTGGAGCTGCTTCTAGTGCAATCGCGGGCAATGTGGCCAGTTTTGCCACAGGTGTAACAAGTTGGGTTAAACCGACCTTTGCTGTCAGGGCAGTTGCGCTGCATGTGGCCTTTTTCACCACAATTGTAGCAGGTCTCAATCTTGGCTTCTGGGCAGTTCTTTGAGATGTGGCCCTTCTGGTTGCAATTGTAGCAAAGGTCGCTGCTTCCTTCTGTGCAGTCTTTTGAGATATGTCCATTCTTACCACATGCATAGCATTTATTGGAAAAATCTATGAAAAAGTTATTAATTACTRATTAGTTTTGTACTGAGTCTTTTGCTAGGAAACTGTCATACTTCAAGGCTGAAAAATGTTTCAGGCATAATCCATTGGGACTAATTACATTACAAAGAAAGTGGGAAAAGCACTGTGGTCTTGGTAGCATGTGACGATAATTGTCTATTCAATATAACTTAATATTTGCGTGTTTGCACGTAAAATTTGGCATGTTGATAGATAATTTTCAACTCCCTGTCACAGTTAACAGAGAATTGTCACATAGAGTACAAAAATATCTCGGTTTACCATATAGAAGTAGAACTCAAGTTCAATAAAAAAGCCAAATTATTTGTTTGCCCATTGACATGTTTCAATCTATTCCTAAGTTTTTAGTTAAGCCATAGTGAGCTCCCAGGCTTAGAAATTAAAATTTCAAATGGAAATATCAAGCAATTTATGAACAAGTACATGTTACTATATTACCAACTAAGAAAACATCTTTTCTTAAAGATAGACAGTCCCAGTCTATTAATAATAAATGTCATAAGTTTGCACAATTGTTTGTGAAATCTTGGATCTCAAACTTATAAAACCTCCATTGATCCTTTGATATAAAATAGTCTGGGCATTTTGAATTTAAATTAATACTCACTTTTCTTGGGGCAATTCCTGGACAAGTGACCTGTTCTGCCGCAGGTGTAACAAGACTTATCTATGGAAAGATAAAATGGAATTAGCAAATACAATAATATTTCTTGGCATAGATTATAAAATGCAGATGTTCGTTTCAATTGGAGACCTTCCTTGCTTTATTTATTTTTTGTTTTGTTTATTATAATATCTGTATTCTGTTCTTATTAACGTGTTGATGTGTCCAGCGCTTGTAAAGAGCCCAAATTATTCAAACTTAACAAAAACATGGCCATCAAGTTAGAGGCATGCCTCATTAAAGATTTAACATAAAAAAGGAATCATGTGTAATGAAGTTTTAGGAAGAAATGATTTAGTCATTCACACGAAAACGTTTTGATTTATAACTTCAAAGTAAGCAAACTTTTCTGCTTGTAAAGAGAGAAAGATTTTAACAACATTGGGAAATGATGTTCTAAGAACTTCTTGATAATAAAGGTGGTTGATTTAAATTCATATTCGGGTTGAAAACATGTGAATGGTTATATCTAATAAGGATGAAATATTTTTGACTTTTGGTATATTAAATTCTTCGAAGCAATGTTTTTGGAATTTCATTTTCCGGTATATAAAGTGCTTCCCTAAATCAATATCAGCAAAGAAATTCAAAGTGTATTTTATGCAAATCATACTAGGACTACAAGCAACAGAAATTCATATAGATCAAAGTTAGGCCTCCTGTGAATCGACCACTGAAAATTTAATTCTGAACGATGCAAACAATTTTACACATCAAAATAACTAAAAAACTGCCATTTGGGTGTAAAAAAATATAACTCAATACAAGAGCGATCCATTTTGAAACGGCTCACTGGTTTTATATAAATTTCAACTGAAATAAGTTATTGAGTTCGAATTTTTTTCCGCTTACAAAATCAATTAACAAAATTGGTCTCAACATTTTTGGTCACCAAAAAAGTGTCAGAGTTTTAGAAACATGTGTTTGTGAAATATCAGAATTTTTCTGTTCAACTGTGTTGTTGGGACATCGGCAACTGAACAAACATAATGTGAAATCAGTTTTTGGCCACGTTAGATGGAAACTTTTCCACGAGGGATCTGCATTGGACGGTTCAAAACGAACACAAAATAACGTCCACAAGATTGTGTGTTCTACATGTTAGATTTGTTAATGAGTCATTCTTAATACAACGCCGTAGTAACCACTTTTCTAAGCGTCGAATTACCAAGGAAATAAACCATTGCCCAACGGAAAGGAAATTTTCGAAGTATTACAAATAGCTAAAAATACCTCCAAAACTGCCTGAGCCAGTAGATCCACCAGTTCCTCCTCCCGAAGATGGGCATTCGCGAGCGTAATGCCCTATTTGATCACACTTATAACACTTCACGTTTGACATTTTAGATCTACAATACAAAAACAAAAATCAGAAAGCAAGAACAGAGAATCAAATCATGTCAGACCAGTAAAGTTGGGCGATGCATGAAGCCGTGAAAGTATGTCGTAATCCAACGAACTGCTTCACTTTGTAGCTATATATTTCTCTCGGAGGGCATTTTTTTCTTGGTAAAATCCCCACAATAGCATAACAGATGATTGATAAACGTACCTCACGAAGTTCAAAGGTTGTTATGACTGGAAACCCGTGGAAATTCAACTTTTATCAGCCGTTTTCGCACCAAAGCTGCTTTTCAGTCGGCTAAAATTTTCCACGTGTTTGAAATTTATCGCCATGACCGCTAGGAGCTCTGGGGAATCAATGATTCTACCAAGTACAGTGAAAGGAGTTTTCTCTTATCCTCTGTTACCCTCGAATACATAGGTTGTTTAACGTGTCTTTATGCCTAAATTGTCATTTTAGCGAAATAGATTATTACACCAAGAAAATCCAATTACCTTCAAGAGTGATAAGCAGGCAAGAGAGATTTTTGAGTAATATTATTGATTTGAAATATAAATGCATAGCCGTATCGCCCCATGACACGGAATCCGGAGCGTTCCTGAATTTCAGATTCCAAGGTCTTGGATWCCGCCTTCAATGAAAAATTTCGAACGGATTCTTGATYCCAACATATTAGATTTAGACTGCAAAACATCGTAGCTTTTTTTAGGAAACATTCGAAGTAAGTAATGTGACCAAGTGAACTAATTMTTGATCGTCAGTTCTTTTAGGATGTTTTGGAACGTAACAAACAAAAAAAGACAAATTTGCTTCACAGGTCTGCTCGGCGTACTTGCCAGTAMGCCGGCCAAAACAGAACTAACTTTATTTCAAAACGACTGACGCATTGCGCGATGCTCACGCCATATGTCACGCAATGCAACCTTATCACAGCAATTTGCATTCCGGATTGCTTTCTGCTATCGCGGATTCCGAATTCTAAGTGCTTGGATTATTCCGAGTTAAAATTTTGTCGGATCCCGGATTAATTCATGGGGAAAATAAATAATATTTACATTTATTAAATCATCAATTTATTCATTTTTTTTTATATAACATCATAAATATTTTTTTAAAGATCAGCTACTTCCTCATACGATTAGAATACTAAAGATCTTAGGTAATTARTGTTGATTCCCATCTTTTGCCTTCACTGGCCTTTTTCCATGTCAGTCCTCAGAAGTAAAAAATGCAAGATCATCATCAAAGTCATCACCAAATCCTAAAATATACAAATATGAGAGCAAAAAAGAAATATTAGAAAGAAATATTATTAATGAGAAAACGAAAAAAAT